AGCTACCATATTTTACGAGTTTTGACGTGACAACGTCTTAAATTAGGTTGCGGCTGGGAGTCACTTATGAAAAAGTGTAACGCTCGGTAACGTTACGATGAGTCTCTCGTGTTAAGTTTAAGTTTACATGTACAATGTTTTAGTAAACAAAATATATTTCTATAGTTAAAATTTGTGCAATTCTTATTTTCATTCAATTCCTTGTTCCTATTGTGCAATTTAATTATATTCATATCAATAAATATTCTACCGAGAAAAAGACGTTGTCACGTAAAATCTTCGCCCGTAAAACCGACTTTACAGGCAACCATTTTTTTTACTCAAGCCAGGTTAAACGTTGACACCATTATGTAAGCCTATTACTTTTGTACTAGCCAAATGAAGTGTAATGGTTTTGTTTCTACGAATTCATTTAATCAAGAAATTTTAAAAACTACTCCACACTACTTGTCGTTAGTCATAACCCCTGGTTGTAAGTAGAAAATAAACACTTTTCAACTGTTTTTATGTTTTGATTTATTTTTAAGCATTTAACTGCTAGATGTTTAAATCTAAAGAAAAGTTTACTAGAAAAAAAAAATCCACGCCGGACCAGGCAGCGGACGGGACTCGAATCCGCACCCTTCGCAATCCGGGCGAATGCACTGACCATTATGTTACCACGGCCTAACTATAATTGCTATTTCTTCTTTCAAATGTTTAATACTTGAAAAAGTATTCATTTGACATTGTGGGTTACCTACAATACGAAGAGATGGCGCTGCCTTGCAGCTTAAAGTTAGGAGAATTTCGACGCGGCTAATAGGGCCGTGGTAGCATAATGGTCAGTGCATTCGCCCGGATTGCGAAGGGTGCGGGTTCGAGTCCCGTCCGCTGCCTAGTCCGCGTGGATTTTTTTCTAGTAAACTTTTCAACTGGTTTAATATAATACTTATACTGTCCTTGATGTTTCGGAGCCTGTAAAGCTGATTAAAAAAATAAGATGTTGGACACCTTTTTTTTTATTTGTCTGCATAGCTAGGGTTACTATTTAAAAATTTGAAAAGTCCTGACAAAAAGTCGGACATTTCGATAAAAGTCCATTTTAGTCACAAAATGCAAACATCACCCCCTTAGTAACAGTGATATTATACGCGATATATATAGATAGTGGGGGGGGGGGGGGGGCTCGTTGTTGATTTTTAAAGATAATTTATATTTTGTTATAAAATAATGAGAACTTAATAAAGATTATTTGACTTATTTGATATAACTTAATAATCATATTCCATCTAATTAAAAAAATCTGGACAAATTAAAATCAGGACAAGGTCCGGACACAAGCCATAATGTCTGGACATGTCCGGACAATTCTGGACAGATGGTAACAATATACATAGCTACGGTCACAAAAAAATAATTATGAAAGTTCTTAAAACAAAATATTTTATCATTAAATTATATTCATAAATTGTGATTCCAATGTAAAAATAATAGTACTTCTTTCATAGGTCCATATCTATTTGTATACCTTAATTAAGGTGAAAATGTAGTGATCATCATCATCAGCCTATTAATGTCCCCACTGCTGGGGCACAGGCCTTCCCTATGAATGGAATAGGGAGATTGGGCCATGACCCACCACGCGGGTCCAGTGCGGATTGGTGGGTGCTAACGACTGCAGTGCATCTGCAACCAACCATCCGGGACCAACGGCACCGAAGCACGGAGGAGCTCGAGATAGTAAATTTTTGGTCACCCATCCAATGACTGACCATTGCGAAAGTTGCTTAACTGCAACGATCGCAGTCGAACACACTAACCACTTGCGCCATCGGTTTCCTCATTTTATCATTAATAATCTCAAATTAAAGATTTTCTCCAAAACCGGAACTGCTTGGAGATGCCCCACATAACATTCTTGCGGAATTTGAACCTGTGACCATAGCGTCTGCAGTCATCAGGTCCAGTAACCGGTAACTGTAAGCCGGTCTCCAAAAATGTTTCATTAACTTCGGCTATGTGGTTTATTTGAACGTTGACATTAATTTTGTCAAGTGTATCATCAATTTTACCCCAGTCCCCTAAGCATGAGCACCACGATATGATATATAACGCGTTTTTGTCACGCTCAATTGTCAAATTACTATGCAGTTTGATTTAATGCAAATTGTGGTGCTCATACTGGGGGGCAGACACGACAATTTTAGACAAATGATGGATGAGTTACATTACAACGAATGGCATATATTAAAATTCCTTTAGTTTACGTAGGTATATTCAAGTTTGTTGACGTAAAACACGTTATAGTTTTAGATATAATTTATCATCATCAGCCTATTAATGTCCCCGCTGCTGGGGCACAGGCCTTCCCTTAGGATGCAATAGGGAGATTGGGCCATGACCCACCACGCGGGCCCAGTGCGGATTGGTGAGTGCTAACGACTGCTGATGCAGCCGGGACCAACGGCTTAACGTGCCTTCTAAAGTACGGAGGAGCTCAAGATACTAAATATTTGGTCACCCATCCAATGACCGACCACTGCGAAAGTTGCTTAACTTCAACGATCCAGCCGAACGCGCTAACCACTTGCGCCATCGAGCTCCACCTAATTTCGATCGATTTCCGTCGAGCTCCGTATAATTTATACATATTATAATTAAATGCACAGTAAATAGTGTAGCGTGCATAATATTTGTCATTAGAACTTCTTGTTAGAAGAAACATTAATATCAACGAAGACCAAAATAGCTTTTTTAATCAATTGTACGTATTCGTGTTTCTAGGTACAATTCAGCTTATTCTTATAAAAAAAAATGGGTGCGTGTACTTATGGTGGCGCGTGAGAAGTTATCCTTCTTTGGCATCGTTTAAAATTAGTTTTTAATTGCACGCAAATAATTAATTACAATAAATTAACAAAAAGTCTGGAAAAGGACACAGTCAATAAAGTTCAGTTTTAATTTGAAAAAATAAATAAATAATCAAAATATTCAATTAAAATCGCTACTGAATATAATTTATTAGAACATATGTGATTTGCACTTGTATGAAACTCAAACACGTATACCGAATATACAAACTAGAAACATGTGGATAAATATTATAAATATGAATACCTATAACTGTTACTTTATTACAAAAAATAAAGATGTGGTTTTTGGTTCTACTACACCAATGGTCAAGAGATGGCGCTGTATTCTCCTGAATCGCGCTTTGGTTCCGTTGTTCCAGATTAATAAATACTTTTTGTTACTTTATTATAAAAAGTAAAGATGTGGTTTTTGGTTCTTCACAATGCAGTCGTTAGCACCCACAAAATAGAGATTCTATTTCCATTTTGTTGGTAGATTTTCTTAATGTGCGGTAAACACAAAAGTAACAGCATGAAGTTGGTCGCTAAAGCTGTTAATTTTTTGTGTTACAGTGATGCGCGCGCATCTTAAAATTTCACTCTCATCATTTTTTCATAACGCGCCTAAAGAAGTATAACTTCAAAAATCTTATTATTTTTTATTTTCTTGGACTGGCTGGTCGTACAGAGGGCACCTTCTACAAAGTAAAGAAAAATAAATCTCGGAGGCTTTAACAGGACAATAAGCTTAGTTTAAAACACAGTGTTCCTCAAGGAAGTGTTTTATTTCCAGTTTTTTAGAGCCACCGTTTAAGTGCTTTTATTAGTAAAGCTGCGTTTTCGAAACTTTTCTAGATAACGTGAATGGGTAAAACACTACTCAAAATTATGTTCTAGGTAGAGTCAGTTATAAAACTTTTATGTGTACCAACATTTTGTGAACTTAATTGAGGCCACTCCCATGTTATGCTAAGAAAACTATTAAATCAGTTATAACAAAAGACAATGCGTAGATCAATTGAAATATATATTTGAACTGGGTCATTGTTATCTCCTTACTTATATGGGTATTTAAATTAAAAATTAAAAAAAAAAGTTTCAAAAATAAATTTAGACGATGGTTGACACTGTGTTTTGTAAAAGATATCTTTTTGTTATATTTTATTGTCTATAGTCACTATATCCTGTTTTATGTTGTTTTGCTCAACAATTATGCTGTCCGTTGTCTGTTTAAATTCCTGACTTATTTTTTCAATTGTATTATTCATCTCTTCTCGTATTGTAAGTTTAATGTTTTGCAGGATTTCTGTATTTTCCGTAATGTAGTCTCCATTGTAATTTTCAACCGTGAGTAATTTACTAAATTTGCTTAAAGTAAGAAATTCTTCATTTGTTTTGGAATCAGATTTATTATTTAATATATATATTTGCTCTTCACTATCCGATTGGGTATTTCCCAGAATATTCTCAACATTAAGTTCTTCCGAATCACATGAATTATTAAAATCGGAAGTTGTCCCTGAAGTTCTTATCAGTTTATGTCATAAGATAATGTCCATGTTGATATGTTTCCGTCACCTGAGAAATCTGAGAAATTTGAGCTTTTTTATTATTTTGACCCTTATTGTATATATCATAATACTACTATATTTCAAGTAACGTCTAGTTGTAATTTATACTTCACAAAGTTACGTAGTTAACTAAGTGTATGTTAGACCTTACCTTACAATTAAATTGGCTCTTGCAGAACGGCCCATAATAGATGTACTGATATGTCGAAACCATTTAAAGGCTTTTTTAAATAATAGTGCCTTAATGTATAGCAAATTTAGGTTATTGATGTTCGGTTATTTGGTTCATGTTGCAATTATAATATGTTACCAAATACGTTGCTTCATAATTGCTCCAGAAATTGATACTTGTAAAACATCTTTTGCTCAACGCAAGCACCGCAAGGCATTGAAATGTGTCTGGAACATTCTTGTGATTAAACTTGCATATCTTAACCACCACGTTGCTATCGTGTCACATTTTAAGTTAGTATTTGTATTCTATCTGTTATGTAGTGCTGTGTGTGAATCCACTTTGATATACACAGTTTTTCATCTACGATTTTTGAAAGTGCTAAAAGGGCTTGTGGTAATTAATTCTAATATTTTGTTTCAGATAGAAAAAAATAGTCAAAATGGTGGTTGGAGCGAAGAGGACGATCCATCACGTGCCAAGCAGAGGCAAGATATCCATCATGAAACTACAAAACTTTACAGAGCAGAAACGACGTAAGTACCTATCGCATTATAGAAATTAAACACACATTAATGTATTGTTTTAAACTTTTTTCCCCCTAATTAATAAACTAAGAAAAATCTTGGATTAGTTACTCCCTGTTTTGTCTTTGTTCTTTGAATGACAAATGGTATTTGAGTGATATGAACAAAACACGGCGTAACTACTCTAAGCTTAATCCTCGTTAATTAATGAGGGCGTTATAGTCACTAAAATTACAGTTGTTTTTAATAGCGGGATCGATAGCTCGAACAAGGTACATGGTACTACCATGTACCTTGTTCGAGACCTAGTTATAAACAAGGTACATGCTACCAATCCGCTAATATCAAAAACATGTCTTACGCACATATTTTTAGTTTGGTTAATTTTACTCGTATCTCTCTTAAAATTATACAATAATAATGATAATTAAACGACATTTGTTGTTTAATGATGATAATGATGGATAATTTGAGACACATAAGAGATCAAATATTTTAGATAAATAATAACATACACGTGATGTAAATAATTACGCATCCAATTTATGAGATTATAAGAGTAACATCAATAAAAAAACGTGAGTCGTCACGCGAAATTATTTTGTACAGGAAATAAACATATTTGTTTTTTAGATTTTCACGCATATCATCATCATCATCAACAGCCTATCTTAGTCCACTGCTGGACATAGGCCTCTCCAAATGCATATTTGTCGAAGAACCGATAACCGTTGGGGTAGACGAGTTCTGGATTGGGACCGCGTCTAGGCAAACGTAGTCTAGGACGTCCTCAGGCGCGATGGAGTGACGATTTGCGCAAGGTGGCTGGCAGGAGCTGGATGCGAGTAGCCCAAGATCGATCTGAGTGGCGTGCAATAGGGGTGATGACAGGGTACAGTAAACGAAATTCTATTTAGTCCGTCAGTTAGATGATCAAAAAATAATGGACACGTATTTTTTCTTTGGGCAATCAACCAAAAAATGACCAAGTTATAGCGCGTCAAAGTTTGGGAGAAGGGCCTTGTGACGTCACTTTTGAGTCAAAATTGTACTTGTTTAATTGTAAAACGTGATGTCATGCGAATTTTCAATATATCTCTTCAATGTTTATATTATGTGAAAAAAGAAAAAATACTTGTCCAATACTTTTTGATAAATTACCTGATAAATGAAGAAAAAAAATAGTCATCATCCCTATTGGAGAGGCCTTTCACGCACACCACTCATTAAATAAAACAAATATTTATCACTTCATAGTATAAAGCAAAGTCGCTTCCCGCTGTCTGTTCCTATTCCCAATGTCCCTATGTCCCTATGTATGCTTAGATCTTTTAAACTACGCAACGGATTTTGATGCGGTTTTTTTCAATAGATAGAGTAATTCAATAGGAAGGTTTATATGTATAGGACATGCATAATATAGTAGAGAAACACTGATAATATTAGAGGTTTTTAATGTTTTTTTGGAAAGGGATGCGAAACGTCAATAAATAAACAAATCAGTGCAGATATACTGTTGAAACTTGTTTTATATAGGAAACTAGTGGCCTCGCTTCGCTTCGGTGTAGAGCTGAAGTGTAGACTATAGTTTTCGTTCTCAGGCTTGTATTATACACAATGACATTCTTCTTATACCTAATTACAATAGGCTCGCGTCGCCAGGCCCCCCGCCCGGTAGCGTCGGAACTGCTATGTCCCTGCATTTTAAAATCTGTAATATCTTAGAAAATATTCATTTAAATTACATGCTTTAAAGGGCCAAATTTATCTGTATTAAATACACAATGTATTTAAGGTACTAAATTGGTTAAGGATGAATGTTATGTTGAAACGAAATGAAAATCGCTTCGTAAATAAGCTATTATTTCTCGTAAAAAGTATAGAAACAAAAATGGTTATTGTGGGTTATCCCTAAGAGATAGACATATCCAATTGCTGATTTTTTGTAGACCTTTTTAAGGTGTACAATACTGAAGTACATTATTTTGATCTATCTCGTAGGGTTCAGCTAGCGTTTGCAATGTAAGCGCAAAAAAGTGTTTATTTACGACCTTACATTAAAAACCTCTAAAATTCTCAGTGTTTCTCTACCATATTATGCATGTATTATACATTTTAACCTTCCTCTTGAATCTCATCACTTTATCTATTAAAAAAAACCGCATCAAAATCCGTTGCGTAGTTTTAAAGATCTAAGCATACATAGGGACATAGGGACAGACAGCGGGAAGCGACTTTGCTTTATACTATGTAGTGATAAATATTTTGGCCCAATGAAAAATAAAATATTAGCAATCTTTTTTATAATAATGTTATTGTTTAGCTAATAAACATTAATATTCATTACCTATGTAGGAAGTCCAAAGGGGAAGATCTTCCTCCGAGCTGGGTGATGATGGTAGCTCGGGCGACGCGGCCCGACTGATATTAGTCGGTATATATGAAGAGTTAGCCACCGAATTTCATTTGCGCGATGTAGGCTTCCATACTATTAAGATCGCAGTGCAAGTAACGCCATCTCTTGAGGATGGTGAGTAATGATTTCCTCCATCCGTTGTATATATGTGGGGCATATAGATGCCGCCACACCTATGCAATGAAAAAATAAAAATTAATAAAATTTCAACTTTGAATCACGTCAAGCCTCGTTCACGATGTAGCGACGCATGATGCCGTGGCGACGCGTGCGTCGGTCGGTCTGACCCAGTGTTGCCAGGTCTCCAGATTTTACAGGAGATCTCCCGTTTTTCTGAAATTTCTCCTGTTCTACTATTTTTCTACATGAATCTACTGTTTTACTGTTTTTCTTAGAATATGATTTTCCTTTTTGAAATTGCTTGTTGAGTTGCATTTTTTGCCATTAATAATGTAGGTAACCTTAATTATCATAAAATTGAAAGTCAAACGAACTTACCTGTAAGTGACGTTCGACTTACATTATACGATGTGATTCGCCCGAGAGATTACACTTAATTCACATACAAGTGAATTAAGTGTAATCTTGAAGGGCGAATCACAGATGTATAATTGAAAGTCAAACAAACTTACTTGTAAGTGACGTTCGACTTATATTATACGATGTGTTTCGCCCGACAGTTTACACTTAATTCACTTGTATGTGAATTAAGTGAAAGAATCACAGAAGTATAATTAATGTTACTGTCTAAAACAAGCGAGCTTTGAGTGTCGCAAAAAGTACGCCTCTGCATCTTCTGTTTTTTCTTGTAGCTCTTTCCATACATCTACTGATTTTTCTATAACGCCTCCCGATTTTTCAAAATCGGACCTGGCTACACTGGTCTGACCCATCGCTTTAGCCGTACTCTTAAGAAATGAGGAATAAGCTTAGTCTAAGTAGTTACGCCGTGTTTTATTAATCTTACTCAAATGCCATTTGTATTTCAATGAACAGTGACAAAAGATGGAGTAACTAATCCTAGCTTTCTCCTCATATATTAATTAAGGGGGTAAATGATTCATATAAAAAAATCAGAGACCTATTACTTTGGTATCCAAGTGAAGGCCATTTAAGTCATAGCTATCAGGGTATATTAACTAAATAGGTATTTAGGAATTATTAATAAAATCTCCTATCTAATAGACAAGTCCGTCCGTCCGTGGTGCTGTTTCAGCGGCCAAACCGTAAGAGATAGATAAAGAGAATGTTTAAGTTATAAGTTAAGAATAGTCTGATAAGACTACAAACCGGATTTGAGTAACGTAGCACTTCCGGTTTTCGAGAAATCACGTGATTTCTATTTCAAACGAAACCACACAAAATCTCCGAAGTTCTCAATTAATTGATTTTTTTTGTGAACAGTTCACTGGTTTGCTAGTATCCTTTAGTCTTATAGTAATATATCACTTCAATAAATAAATTACTATAATGTTAGTGACCACGAAAGCTTAAAACAATAACCACATCCCTAGATTTTTTTTTTATAGAAAATTAATAAGATAAAAGTGCGGTAAGTTGAGAATTACAGCCGAGGCGATATTGTTAGCCCGAGCCGTAGGTGAGGGCTATAAGAAGGCAGAGGCTGTAATTATCAAACCGCACGAATGTCATACGACGTTTAATAACACATTTGTGAGGAAATAATACTACCTACGTACGTACTTCCTGAAAATGAATTTGCACCTTTGTTTGTTTTCCATAAGATGAAATTTTGATACACTGTTAGTACTTATCTATCCGTGGATTTTTCGAGCAAGAGGCTTAGCGTAGCCTTTTTCGACTTCTGGCGGTGTCAAATTAATAAATTCGTTACTACTTGACAATATTTTCAAATAAAAACAATACAGCGAAAAGAAAAAGAAATAACTTTTTCACAGATTACTGATGCGCGCGCATCAACGCTTTTTTTAGGCAAAGGAACAAAAACCAGCCAGTGTTACTAATAAAGTAAATTAATATTTTTGTGAATTTGTTACCGATACATGGTTGTAATTTATTGTCAAAATGAATCAAATTAAATGTTTATATATTATATTTTATCTCCCAAAGTTAATTTTATCATGAAAATGTTGGCTACCTTCCTGCATAAAAACTCTATGCTAAGATTTAAAAAAGTATCGTTCGTTTTTAGACGGAACATAATAAGCCGTGCGTTTTACTTTACATTACCGCACGCGTGTGTAATGTGATAGATTATGATATTGAAATTGGTGCAATAAGAGACGCTTTACGAGCAAATCTTAATATATATAAATCTCGTGTCACAATGTTTGTCCTCAATGGACTCCTAAACCACTGAACCGATTATAATAAAATTCGCACACCATGTGCAGTTCGATCACACTTGAGAGATAGGATAGTTTAAATCTCGAATTATAGTCGCAATTTTAATTTATTGCAAATTATTACTTTTGGGCGGTACGAAGTTCGCCGAGTCAGCTATATGTTATAAAACTGATTTTATTTTGTTACAGTTCCAGTCCTTCGGATACTGTACGGGTCGCTCATGGTGCTACTCAGCTCAATCATGATATTGATCGATCCTGTGCAGCTAGTTACAAATTGGGTAAGTATATTGTTGCTAAAAGCTATTGTTATAATTGCTACGAACAAATACTCAAAACATGGAATATAATCAACGAGACTCATTTTTTTCTAGCTGGGAAGAAGTTTAAAAAAATGTAACAAATTCGTGGTATACCACACCCCGTTGCGTAATTGGGGATTGAAAAAAAAACGACGGCTTGCACTCCGGGAGTGCCGGCATAAGTGAAAACTTGAATATTAACGTTGCGCATTTTTGATATTTTGAAATGGTTACTGAATAATTTTGCACGAATTGCTTTAATTATCAGTATAAAAGTACTATCATTTATGTGGTAGAATATAATATTTATTTATTGCGTTATCGTACACAAACATGACAATTCATATTACATTAAAAAAGTTTATCTCTCAGAAAAATCAACTTACATGAATCACGTTTAAGCGCACCTAGCGACATCTTTTGTAAAAAAAAATGCATTTTCTTCGCAATAAAGCTGCCACGTGGACGGCCTAGATAGAGACTTATTATTATAATACGGTAAAATAAAATATTACTATGTTTCGTCCAATATATTGAAAGTCAACAACCTTTCCAATTTTATTCTGTGTCATGATGTGATCAGCCCACGTGTTTAACCTGACGCGAGTTTAACATTTTTTACCCATACAAAAAAAAGTGTACAACGCCGCTAAAGAAGTTTTCACTTCAAAAATTGCAAGGTTTTCCTTGTTCCTCTCTTCATTTCTTAGTCTTCTCACTTTCTTCTTAATCTTTATCTCTTTTCATTACTAAATCTTACAATACTACCAACGATATTAAAATGTATCTAAATCTCTTTGAAAACTATGTAATTTAGCGTTGCACTTGCTTAGCATTCTAAATGTTTCATTTAAAAAAATCGATAAAACCATATCTTCTTCTTCTTAGTCGGGCACTCTTGTCAGAGTGGTCGTGGTTGCACTGATGAGATACATGGTGGGGTGTTCTTTGGGTCGCTATCAATTCCGAGGGTAGCTCTCCTGGCGATGTGCTTCCATTTCTGACGGTTCGAGGCGTCGCGAGTACACTGGACCATGGTAGACTCAGTAGCCTTTGTGATGGCGTCTATCCAGCGGGTTGGTGATCGACTGCGTGCTCTCTTGCCTTCCACCTGGCTTTGAACCACCAGCCTTTCCATCGAATTCTCATTTTTAGAGATGTGACCAAAGAACTTCAGACAAAACCAAACCAAACCAAGAAAGACCTAAAACCATATCAAATTCTAGATTGTTACATTTGATACTTTTGGATGTGTGTACAATATCAAGGGTTAACAATTTGATGGTGTGCCCATCTCGCAAAGATTATGCTGTCAGTCTGAATCAGCTTTTGTTATTATAAACAAGTTGTAAACTTCAGATAGTGTAAAAGTGTCAATCAAGAAAGCTCTGTTCTTATTTTATCAATGATTAATTACTATTAGCGGTATAATTGAAGTCGACCGTAACTTGCTGTTCGATATATTTCTCATTATTCATAACTATTTACAATACAATGGAAAAAGCTTCCTTTACCAATGACGAATAAATAAAACGAAAGATACAATGTTACGTCTACCCAAGAAATTATACATGTGGCATAAAAGTTATCACTCTATCGGAAGATGGAGAATCCAAAGAAATAAGCAATGGAGCACTATTCTCTGCAAGAGCGTGAAGAATATGTGCAAATACAAATACAAGTGCTTTATTTCCATACCTTATTATTACCTTATATATAACTAATAAATATGAATTGGAAATAGGAAACAGGGCAGCTGGTTTTAAGCCTACCCATCGTCAAATCTTTGTGGTTACTTATACAAATTTCAATGCAATTATTAATAGCCAATTGAATGTGTGTGTTTTTACAAGACGATGGGCTCACTGAGCATTTCATTATGGCGATTTGACAGACAGACTTCTTTCTCTGGGGCTTCTTTTTAGGTTTATGCCATCAAGCTTCGGATAATTGCAGCCCTTAAAGATTTAGGAATATGATCACTTATTTCTGGAAACTATGGAAAATACGATAAAACTGGCACAAATGTGTCAACAGTGGTGGCAATCAATTGACGAATATTATTATTTCCAATTAACATAGAAAAAAATCTTACAAAAATTTCCATCGTTGAAAATTTATTTTTTTACTAAGCAAAGAAGTTATAAATAAACGAAGTTGCATGATTACTTTTGCGCCATCTTGTATATTATAACAAACGATAACCGTTAGATAACAATAATTTTTATTTTTATAAAGAAAATATAACTAGAAAAAATTCCACGCGGACCAGGCAGCAGACGGGACTCGAACCCGCACCCTTCGCAATCCGGGCGAATGCACTGACCAATTATGCTACCGCGGCCCTCACGGACCGCGTCGAAATTCTTCTAGCCATTCTAGTAAAAATTATAACTATAATTGCTATTTCTTCTTTCAAATGTTTAATACTTGTAAAAGTATTCATTTGACATTGTGGGTTACCTATAACGCGAAGAGATAGCGCTGCCTTGCAGCTTAAGGATGGCTGGAAGAAGAAAAAGAAGAAATAAATGGAAGAAGAAGAAGAATTTCGACGCGGTCCGTAAGGGCCGCGGTAGCATAATTGGTCAGTGCATTCGCCCGGATTGCGAAGGGTGCGGGCTCGAGTCCCGTCTGCTGCCTGGCCGCGTGGATTTTTCTCTAGTTATATTTTCGTTAGATAACTTCCTCGCGACTACCTGAAATCTGTGCCTCTTGTGATTAATGGTATACGCACAAAGTAAAATATAAAGAATCTTGTAATAATATTTATTTTAGTCATTAGTGTTGTCTATATGATAACATAGTGCAATAGTTTGACCCATATTATCATTAGTCTTATCTCCCGTTTGGAAGGATCCGGCTTATTACCATATAAAATATTTTATCAACATTAAATGTATGACTTTCATTTCACGCTATTAGCGTTTCCTTTTCTTTGGACTCTTTAAGTTCAGAACTATCAAGTCCAATAACATATCTTTAAAATCTAATATAAAAAATGTGTTACTAAAAACTATATAAAATATTGTTGCGGTGATGTGGAATGGTGTGATATATATAATTAATGTCTGGTTCACTGTCGTATTGCTGCTGTTGTGTATATGTTTTGTTTGTATTATTATTTAGATTGTAGTGCACTTGTAAAGTAATTAGTTTTAGCGCAGTTACTTGCCAACAAACTGTTCTCAGTTTGGCAAGATTTAATGTTTTGTTATCAAGTGTACCCAAAGTAAATACAAGTGTACTAACAACTGCAGATACAGCCGGGACCAGCGGCTTAACGTGCCTTCCGAAGCACGGAGGAGTTCGAGATAAGAGCTGCGAAAGTTGCTTAACTTCAACGATTGCAGCCGAACGCGCTAACCACTTGCGCCATCGAGGCTGTTACAAGCATTTATAAAAATCGAAAAACTACGCCATCCGTTCGTGTATCTATGAAATTGAGAAGCAAATAAGAATTATCCACTAAAGGATTACGTTTCAGGGCAAGATAGATTTGAACTGTGCAATGGTAATTAATTCAATTGACTTAGACAAATGGCATACCACGTTAAATAATACGTCGTAATACTTCCGATGTTTATCCAACCACCAATTAAATACAAGTTCAACTGATTACAAAATGCGGATAAGGAGATGAACTCCAAAAAAATTGTGGGTTGATTATGATATTAGTGTTGCCTCACACGGGCCACCGACCACAACCACAAAACGCCGCTACCAGCATATTTCTAGTAACTTTCACACATTTTATATGGACTCGCCACACACGGTACACCGGTGGCCGCCACACGCTACAAATCGTTGCTCGCTTCTTGTGGCCCGCATCGGCCACTTAAGCGCTTTGCAGACGGGCGGGGCGGAGCGAGCCGTTCAATTTCGCCGCGAACGATAGCACAAAGTGAATCCTATACTACAAACGCACACAGAGGGCAAAAAGACCGCGCCACAGGAGCCCGGCGGGCACTGGCGGCGCGGCATGTCCGCGGCTGCCCGCCGTGGATCATACAAACCAGTTTATATGCAGTAACGCAGACGGCGGCGCGGGGCGGCTAGCTCAGTCCGCGCCACGCGCTTTTTAGTGATGGACTATTCACTAGAACGAACGTCCTGAACTGACTACCTCTGCCCGTCGTGTGCTTTGTGTACGCGGCGAGGGCAGCCGCAGACATCGACGGGCAGACGCGGTTTTTATTGCTTCGCGGACAAAAAGCCCGCCCCGCCCCGTCGTCTGCAAAGCGCTTTAATGCGCCGATACAAAACGCCGCCACACGTCACTCGCGCGATTCACCACCCCTCACTCCCTTACCTTAGTCGACCGCTGTCACGCGCTTCAGCCTTTAGTAGCCGCTTCTAGCTTCTCGTGGCGGCGCGGCGTTTGTGGCTGTGGCGTGTGACCCGTATGCGGCGACACTTATTTATTGACAGACAGACAGCGATGCTTGCTGAAACTAGTATGCTATTTTTGTTTCTTAGGTTTTCACGCACATCACTCATTAAATGAAACAAGTTTCAACGAGTTAGATGCAATGATTTTATTTATTTATTGACGTTTCGCATCCTATGCAAGAATGCGTCTTTGGAGTAATGATTATTTACTTTGTTACTTTGTATTTACAAAGTAAATAATCTGACCCGTTGAAACTTGTTTTATTTAGTATGCTATAAGTAATAAATGCTAACATTACAATATATTTAAAAAAAATGGTTGCCTGTAAAGTCGGTTTTACGGGCGAAGATTTTACGTGACAACGTCTTTTTCTCGGTAGAATATTTATTGATATGAATATAATTAAATTGCACAATAGGAACAAGGAATTGAATGAAAATAAGAATTGCACAAATTTTAACTATAGAAATATATTTTGTTTACTAAAACATTGTACATGTAAACTTAAACTTAACACGAGAGACTCATCGTAACGTTACCGAGCGTTACACTTTTTCATAAGTGACTCCCAGCCGCAACCTAATTT